CGAGTTTAGTATTTTAGCAAGTAGGTGTCTGGTAAATTTTGAGGCTGAAAAGGAATTACGTTTGAATCTGCATCCTTGCTAAAAAAAAAATGTAAATGATTAATTGAATAATAGAGTGAGAGCGACTATTCAAAATCATTTTTTAATTTTGTTCAGGAAGTCATTTACGCGTAAAGATTTAGACTGTCTATATGCAATAAATTGAGTCATCCACTGGTACTTTTAGCAGCAATACTGCAACTGTTTCACACAACAAAGTGTCAATAGCCAGCAAAAGATGTCAATCATCCTGTAAAACCACAACCTTGTATGGGTTTAGACCAGCAAATACTAACAAGACACTACAGATGAAAGGATTGCTCAGTTCATTTATGCCATAAATTTTCCTTTTCCCATTGTTAACAATAAACACTTTCACTGACATAGTTGAGTCCTGAGGACCAGGCTACATTCCACCTCATTTTCTTGAGAACATTCATAACCCTAGATATAAAAGTAGATGCCTAACTTCTGAAGATTATGATGCCCCATGCTGCTGCCTCTTCTGCATAAAAGTCGAGTGAGGAATAATGTGCGGGGCAATATATTAGTTCTGGTTACTAGACTGAAAATTTGAATTATGAGATATCAGAAATGCCAGCTTTCTGGTTAACTAAGTGCCGAATAACAGAGTTTGTACTGTAAAAAGCACCTGACTATATGCAATCAGAAGCGTCTCCTCATCTTAACGACTAATAATTATTAATTGTTCTAAAAAGGAATTAGAAACCTGTCACCTATTCATTATAATTAATATTTCTAGTCAAACGTGAAAGATACTTTTCAAACAGAACAATCAAAAGCATTTGTATATAAGAAGTATTTTAGTAAATGATCATACCAGATCATGTTAAAGCTAATGGATTCTGAAATCAGTATTCCATTTTACAAGGGTTAGCCAGAAATTTGACATGGGGTAAAAAAGATGTATACGTTTCATTTGTTTATAAGCTACTCCCAATAGCTTTTTCTAAAGTCAGCCCGTTTTCCCAGACTGCTTTAAGCAGGATGAAACAAAAGACAGGACTATGCAGCACTTTAAAGACTAACAAGATGGTTTATTAGTTGACGAGCTTTCATGGGCCAGACCCACTTCCTCAGGATGGATTGTTTTAAAATAAACAACTTTAAATCACCAAGCAGGAAGTCACTTTTAAATTTGTTTTGCATTTGTACTTTTTAATTATTGTCCTTAAGAAAGGATGAGTCTCATTAGTTGGTAATAATTAAAATGCTGATTTGCAACTAAATATGGCTTTTATATAAAATTTAGTGCTATTCTGTTAGAAAATGGCAGCTGATGGCTTTCTTATTTGCTTGATTAATTTTTTTGATTTGCGACTTGTGTCAAGCTATATTTGCATGGAAATCTTAAGTCAATTAAAAAAACAAAATCAGCATTTACATTTTTATTTGGTTAAAAACAATAGCATGTTTTGTATATAAAACTAATATAAAACTAATATATTTATTAGTGAATTGGCTGGATGGTTTCTAGATCCCTTCAAGATTTTTAGGACTAACAGATCTCATCCTCTCAAGATCAAGCTTTTATTCACCTATCACAAAAGAAAAACAAGCTCTTGTGCTTGTCAACTCTCACTTGGTTTCTCAACTTTGAATGAACTAATGTTGAATTAAAGTCATTGAATAAACTGAAATGAAGAAACTATTCTCTGCGTCTGCAGAACGGGCTACTGGTGTCCAAAAGTTGATGTAGCACTTCAACAAACTCTGATTCCGTATACTTAGTATGGATATGAAAATCTGTTTAGTTTGGTAAATGTGTACCTGCTAAAATTTTCAGTATGTACACATTTACATGTGAGGGGGGAGATGCATGGGGAGCCAGTTTTTAACCTGGCTTCTCATGCGTACCAGTTCCCATAGAGCTGCTTGCTCCTCTTCCCGCTGCACACTACTGCACCTGTATCAGAGGCAGCAGCACGTGGGGTGGGGCAGATGGGAGCCAGTGCTCACAGGAAGCTGGCTTTTACCTGCTCCCACTCCCACTGCTGCCTCTGATATAGAGGCAGCAGCAGGGAGGTAGGGATGCATGTAACCATGAAGGTTAATTGATGATCATCTGTTAACCGTTTATTCATTTACACTGTGACATTCTTAGCACTCAGACTGTGACTTCCATTAATTCAGTGCTTTCTTAAAATCTTCAGCTAAAAAATGTACCGCTTGATATTTTTTATTTAAAAGTAAATGGCTTCATAGATTATATTAAGTTAAAGCTGTAATGTACATTGTAGTTTCAAATTTAACTTTAAAAACAAATCTGTATTTCATATACATTTTAAAATTAGTTTTTTTTCTTCAGAAAAATCATTTATTGGTATCCACCCTGGCTTTATGTGTATGTTCAACCTAAACGTGGATGCATATTTTAAAAAAGTATTTCTAAGCATGTGCTCCTTCTAGTCACCATACGCGATTTGAGTGCTGCGAGTTGAGTAAGGCTGAAAAGCATGTTAAAGCTAGTCTAAGCCCTAATCTTAACCCTCTGTAAACCAGGTCCCTACCCCTAAGAAAGGAAACGCTTTAGAGCAAGCACGTTAAAGGTAAGTGGAACTCTTACACAGAGTCAAAGAGAATTATAAGAAAAATGAGTCACTTCTAATTAAGACAAAAGGAACAGATGAGAATTCAAACTCTCAATAATTCTTGCTTTGACTGACAGGTGGATGAGAGAAAAGTGGAGGGAACAGAATTAGGGTTTCAGCTATCTCTTTCTCTTCCTACAGTATTCAATTTTTCTATGTTGTTTATTATTAAATATTATTGCAGGGTTAAAGAATAAGAGCCCTTGACTACTGTTCTCCCTTAAGTCACTGGAGTGTCTTGTAACTGAAAATAATGACAACTATAGGATTTAAGTCAAAAGGAGGAACAAGAGTATGGAGACGTACATGAAAGCCATATACACATGCATAAAAAAATCCTCTCATTTTTATAGCCACTGCTCTATTTAGGTCCTACTCACAGCACAGCTCATTGTGTCACAATATATTTAGCAACTGAAAATATGCAACTGCAGAATGGTGTGTATAGACAAAATAGATGATAAGAACATTCTCCAAAGCTGGGAGGTTCTCACTGAAATATCCTACTTTCAGCTGACTTTTTCCTCTCTGCAGGATACATGGACTCAAAATTCTTCTAACCCTTAAAAGGGGGCGGGGAGAAGAGTAGAAAGTTTTACCATCCTTACAGGTCTCATTCTTTCAATGAGAATCCTCTCCCTTAAAATTAGTCCGAAAACTTGATTTAAAATTTTCTCCCACTGAAATGTGTGTTTGAATATAAAAACACATGCACACACATAGGCAGTGAATACACAGATAAATTCACAGGCAGTTATATTGATATAGTTATACCTCTAATTATACTATCATGACTCAACAAATGAATGCTTCTATTCTGGAATAAGAGTGTCTTTCTCAGTTTAGTTAGCTTACACTAAAAACAATGAGTTCTGTGGCACTGTAAACATTAACAAATACATCTGTTAGTCTTTAAGGGTACTCTATACTTGCTTCCTCTTCTGAGAGAGGAATGCAAACCAGTGAAATTGCAAATGAAGCAGGGATTTGAATTTCCCATGCTTCATTTGCATACTCGCATCTGGGCACTATTTTGAAATACCCTATTTTGAAAAAAGAAACATTGTCTACACACGGTTATTTTGAAAGAAAACCCTTCTTTTGAAATAACCAATATTCCTCATACAATGAGGCTTACCAGTTATTTCGAGAAAAGGGTTTTCTCTCAAAAGCGTCTTAACAGCGTTTCTTTTTTCAAAATAGGGCATTGCGAAATAGCTCCCGAACGCAATTAAGCAAATGAAGCGCGGGATATTTAAATCCCGGCTTCATTTGCCATTTTGAATGTCTTCATTTGCATCCCTCTCTCGAAAGAGGGTGCAAGTGTAGACATACGCTTAGGGTGTGTCTAGATTATATCCCTCTGTCCGCAGAGGGATGTAAATGAAGCACTTTGAAAGCGCAAATGAAGCCAGGATTTAAATATCCCGCACTTCATTTGCATAATCACATAATGATGCTCTTTTGAAAAAGCGCTATTTCTAAATTGAAACCACAGTCTAGATGCAGTTCTTTCAAAAATAGAAGCCTTTTTCGAAAGATACTGTACTCCTCAAAAATGAAGTTTCAGGATCTTACAAAAAAGGTTTCTATTTTCGAAAGAACTGCGTCTAGACTGCGGTTTCAATTTTGAAATAGCACATTTTTGAAAGAGTGCCATTATGTGATTATGCAAATGAAGCATGGGATATTTAAATCCCGACTTCATTTGCACTTTCAGAGTGCCTAATTTACATCCCTCTGCAGACAGCGGGATGTAGTCTAGACACACCCTCAGATGCCAGCGGAGCCCTCTTTATTTTTGCATAAACAGTCTAACAAAACTACCCCTCCAAAACTTAGCTTACACGGCTTCCAAAAAGACAACATGCAAAGCAGAGCACAAACCCCAATTATGACTGAAAATGGAAATATTCTAAACAAAAACAGCTCTCAACCATACTTGTAACTTTCAGCATTGCTTCACACTGACTCTACACATATTTCATGCCTCAAAATGATGTTTGGAGTGATTGTGCATGAGTTGCTTTAAAGTGGGAAATCTGTGCAGATCTGTGCAGCAAATACAGAGATATGTGCTGCTGCTGTTGCAGCTACAGTCTGTGATGTTATGGTCTCCCCTTGTATCTTATGGGTGGTTGTGCTGATTTATGTCTGAAGCATTATGCTGGGACTGAAAGATGTGTGGCTGTTTATACAGGTAGCAGTGGAACACTATTTCTTGGTTTTTAAGTTTTTCCAGTTACAGACTAACTTGGTCACCTCTCTGAACCACGTCATCTGTGTTAGCCTCCCTCCTCCCACCAATTAAATTGGTGGATGCAAGTGCTGCTGAGTAACGCTACATACTTGGCTGTAGCTGCCTGCACCGATGTGATCCTTAAACGCAGACTGGCTGGTGGCACGGAGACAGCTGCTCCCTGGGTAGGAATGTGCTACCGGCAGCACTTTCTTAGTTGTACGTTCGGAAAGGCGCTGTTTCTGCAGCCAACTGCTACCTCTCGCCATACCACCGGCTGGCACGGGCAAGCAGCAGAGAGATGCCCGACCGTGGGGTGGGTCTGAGCCAGGGCAGCTCCGGCCGCTGCTCCCCGCTGACGCCAGGGGCACCCGCGCAACAGCCCCGCAGAGCGCGGCACCCTGACCCCAAACCAGGGCCTGGCCCGAGCAACTGAACAGACGTTTCCATCCCTCCCCCGCGCTTTGGGCCACTGCGGCGACACACGGAGGCGCCAACCGACCAACCCCCCCCCCCCCCACAGCGGCCGCCCCCCCCCCGACCCCACGCCC